CAGGTGAGTTAGCTTCTCCGACCCGCACCTGGAAAGTCCGATCGGTCAGGAAAACCGTTAACCACCTGGTAACATTCACATCCTCATTTGTTACATTGTTTTATAGTAGATTTCGTCGTGTAAAGAGAACGTCCCAGTCCGCACAGCCGTCCCATTCAAGTCCTATACGAGTCCTACTCGAGTCCCATCCGAGTTCCAGGGTGGGTCGGAAAAATTCCAACCCGATTACTTTTCATACGAAATCCACTACAGGATTAAATACCACCGAAAACCTCAGTATGGTTGGGGGTGGGGAGTTGTGTTTGGTCACGCTTCTCTTGATCCTCACCAAATGCTCCCATAAGACCAAGCGTACTGAGAAAATACTGCTCACTGCCTTCTCGTGGTGAAGTTGTTTTCTCACTCAAGGGAGAGGACGAAAAGCCAAAATCTGGGGCCATAATGGGGTCGGTGAAACAATTGCAGTTCACCTAGGGGAGTTGGCTAAAACCCTGATTGCAAACCGACCAAGAGGAGGCGTGTAAAGCACCCACACCTTTTTGGTCGTGGTAGTGGTCACCTACTTGATTGGGCGTGATGGTCTATTGGGCATCTTGGACGTTTGACCTAGTCCAAAAAAACGTATGATCCAATGAACTGGATACCGGCCCCCAACACATTGTGTGAAAATATGATATAATATAATATAATATATATAATTGAATCAAACTCTCCATAAATCACATTGTCATTTAATCCTATTGGGTAATCATCGTATGTAAGTATATCGCACCAGTTCAAACGTGTGAAAATTCACTTACACATGCAAAACCATCAGTGACTTTGTAACAAGAGCATCACAGAAGTAATAATCAAACATATAGGGACATTATTTGCACCATTTAGCCTGTATGCTACTCCCATGAATAACAATCATGCAACTGACCCAGATAAGTACTGTCAGCTGTACAAACAAGAAATGCTCATCCTGAATCACAATTTACGCAACATTACTGCTCCTAAGTTAGTCCACTGACTGACTATCCCCTTTCACTTAGACGCGTTCAACTGTGCGTAACTTATGAAAAGATCATTGGTCTTATTGTAATTTCAACGCAACTTAAACAAATGACTTGACCGTGTGAACGATCAAATGTGAACGGAAATTGCTCTGGCTTTAGCCTCGCGGTGCAACGACCTTGTCAGTTTACCATTCCGTTTAATTGTGAGACGTATTCGTGTCTCACTAGCCTTTTGGTTCATGATGTTTGTATTTTTCATCCCTTCAGATTTTCAGTCGATCCTCTCCACGGAAAACCTCCTGTCTGTCGACAGTTCCAGCCTGCACCGAGATTCAGCCCACATTCGGTTGTCTGGTGTATCCGCTCACGAGGGACATCCTACTGCACATACGAGCCCAATCACACTACAATGGCTCAGTTTGTGTGACATACACTTTACAAAAGCATAAACGACATTAATGCCTCAGTAATAATCTGGTAGAGACTGAGTAAGCTTCAATGATTCAAACACAATTAACTTGCTTTAAGGTATGTACTAAAGCAATACAGGTTGAACTGAACAATTAATTTACAATGAAAAGTGATTTTGTGCGTATTGCTTAACAAATGGTTTTAAATGAGTATTGAACTGAGGAAATGTATTTCATACACAGATGCTCCTTGACTGACGTGAATAAGTCCCTGTCTTAATCCCAAATGCATTTGGTTAGTAAGACCATCTTAAATAATCTAATGAGCAGTTATACCATTGCACTTCTTCCACAAATTTAGTTTCCCATTGTTTGAATTTTTGTGCAGAATTCACAGTATAAAACGGAAAAATAGTTAAAAATTGCTATCATTTTGAACTGTCAAGTAACCCGTGTTCTTCACGCAAAAAACGAACTCACTTGAAGCAAACGCACAAGAGGGGATCCATCATCGGCCTTCTGATACAATGTCTCATGGTACAAAATCACTCCGGAAATATTTTTAGCTAAAGCCGGATCAGCAGAAAATAATAGTTGCCTATAAGCTCTCCGATTCTCCTCGGTATTTTCCACGTTAATAGCTTTGAATCGTTTTCCCAAAGTTGCTGGACAGAACGACATCAATACACGGAGAACAGAAAGCTGAAATACTTACGGACACTTTCATCAGCAGCCAGAATACCTTTGCCTGGGGCCACAATCGCATTGGCAATATCTCGTAACTCCTTTAATTTCCCCTCAGGTAAATATTCGGTAAATCGTGGCATCACCCCAGGCATTGTTTCAGAAAAATTTATTGTCCAGCTACCTACCGGCTATCTACTAGTGCGCCACGTACAATAAACAAACCACACTGTTTATTCAAATCGATCGATCGAATGAACTCGGCCTTCAGGACAACGAACGGGTCGATAGGTAAGAAGTTGTTTGGGCACATCTCGGTCAGTTGAGAGTATATGAAACATTTTGGACAATGGAATACCAAAAGATCTATCCCATCACACCTCATTATTGCCACAATTATTGGTCGGGATTTAATTCCGTATTCATGGGGAAGAAAGTTTATCGCTCCACCCAAAGGGACTCATCCTTAAATTGATATTTATGCCTATCCAATCATCATTTCTGTTTGTTTTAATAGACCAATGAAGTGCAGGACTTATACTCCTTTCCTGACTGGTCGGTTTGATGTACTTTTCAAATTTTATCTTATTGTTCCGGTTAGCATAAGGGTGGATGGAGTTATTTAACTGCTCGTACCGGCAGCATCAGTGGAAAGACTGTAAAGTTAATGGGAAGTGTATTTGCAAAACTCTGATTACTTTCATTTATCCCAAAGCTAAATTTGTGTGTTGTCCATAAGAGAATATTATTCAGCCTGATTCACAAATTATTATGGAAACTATATTGAAACTTATAATCTTCCAAATTTGGCAGTATTTCTTAGTCAAGGGAATGGGAAATGCTAGAAAATATTTATTGAAAACTTCGCCGGAACAGCATTCGTGGGAAATAAGGAAACTATTTTGTAATACGTTCGAAGGAAAAACTGAAAATCGAATAGAGAAGTTATCGTTTAAACCCAGGGCATGTCAATGCATCGACCACTTAAAAACGATTTAACATACTGACAAACTATTCCATACATTCACGTCTATTCTTGGACTGGTCGCACAATCTTGAAATCAATCTCAGCACCGATAAATGTTGAGATTTGACTTCGGGTGAAAATGCATTCATAGGGGGATATGAGGGGGGAAACGGTAAAAGAAAATAGGAAATACTAAAAAAGAATGAACGGGGTGGTGAAGCGGTGTACATCTTCGGGTTAATTCTGAACACTTCCGGTGATCTTTTTCACGTGCCACGTATCAGTCCATGTTGCGTCATCACGAAGTCGTTGAGGTCATGGTTCACTTAAGATATCTTCATTATCAGTTCAAGCTTTTGCAGTAAATTCAATACGTTTTCTGAGTGAAGAGTATAAGATGGTGTACATATTTGATCCAACAGAAAATAAAAGATTGCCAGAGTAATAATTCTCCAAACAATGCTAATTCGCAATTTATGAAAACTGAGTTCCTGCTGAATGTTACATGCTACTTCATTTCAATAAACACGAGACCTGGGGAAATTCGTTGGCCATTTTTAAGCAATAGTCGTGAGTTACATCAGTCGGGTACGGCAGCGCGATCATTAGATTCCCTGTAATACATCGATATCAGTAAGAGACACGGTTATCATTACCTCCATCAGTTGTGGTACTGTTTGGATGATGCTATGTAACATGCTCCAAACTATACAACAGGCAGTTAAACATCATTCAGTCACTCGGTCTTAAACCGATTAATGGCACCTTCAACAGTAATTGAAAGTAAATGTCTCCCAGGAATTGGCAGATTAATTTCACACCACAAGGAATTGAGAAAACGTAGGCATAATACCGAACGGATTACCGACCAGTGAATCAGATAGCTTAACTTTACCTGTGCAACTAAGATCGATGAATTCGTACTGATGACGAACTCCGACATAGGTAGAACATCTTCAAAATGACTTACAGATGCCCCCTTTGCTTTATCCTTCCTACGTATGAGATGAAATTTGTTCTGTATCCAGACTAAATCCTCATATTCATTTTCAACACGACAAAAATATTTTACTTATCCATCTTGCACTTTGCACATCCAACTCAGCTTAAAAATAGGTCTGATAGACATCCCAAGAAGGTGTAATTAGTCCCAATACATTGTTGGCATGACATTTGAAGCAGAAACAGCATTAAACCAGTCATAAATGGATTGAACGCCAGCTAAAGCAATCGGGAAAAGACAAGAGCTGGCTGCTACAAATGACTTCTAACTCTGTGAGTGAAATACGTGAAGTACACACCGATCACGAATTACGAATCACGTATCACAAATCACGGATGCCACGTAAGTACTGAATCACACTGGTCCTTGCAAGACGGTATCCCATGTAACCGAGACGCAAGGAAAAGACCGCAGGATTAGCAGTTCATTTATTGAAAGAAATCATGGGGTTTAAATAATATGTACAAAAGAAGTTTATTGGTTATGCAGGCCTTTACCAATTGCGTGCTCGTATTTCCGGCGTAGTACAGCGTTTGTCTGGGCCCCATGGCCTCTGATTGGTTGGTACAATCGGCCTATGGCTCATAGTCTGAAGAATGTAACGCGTAGGTGCTTTGCTGGCGTTATCTGGGAAGCTTGACTCATCACAGTTATCCGGAAACTGTACCGTGTCGCCCCGTGGTTTGTGTCGTTTTGTAAGCTAGGATCACCACAGTTATCCATCAGAGATGAAGGATAAGACGAACAACTAAAGCAATCGTAATAAAAGATACAAGAATGCATATTTCTTCAGCAATTTCATAAACAGAAAAATGATCACGGTGCGCTGAAACTCATGCAACTTGAAAAAACGAATGGAATACCGTTTACTTTAGCGACGAATTTAGATGGAACCGACATGTAGACCTACTGTTGACATGGCCAATAGAAAGAATAGCGGTACTTCAACAAGCGGATTTACGATCGAAACTCCGTGATGGTACGGGGTTAACTGCCAACCGACGGTCCAACCGAACTTGCTCTACTACTTGAGATGTCAGATTTTAATTCATGTTCGTACACTGGATCGGTACCTCATACCACTGAATGATCATCCAGAATCCATTTTCTAGCATGATAAATCCATAGTTCATGCCTCGTACCTAAAAGTTGCTGATTATTACGTCGAGGCACCAAAACAATGGTAAGCTATGTATCACATCTGAACTCAACGGAAATCAGCTGAACTATTTTTCTTCTTATCCAGAGTAATCGGCTTCAATGGACAAAGTCCGAATAGGGGAATGCCATAATTTTGTCGTGGCAAAAATTCTGTTTTTTTAATATTTTTGGTAAAATAAACGGTAATTGGATTAAATTTCGTAGCTCTGCTTTTCATTTGGTTCCCGTCCAGATTCTCAAAATAGGTGTTCATTGTGTTTGTGAGACCGGAAATAATCGAAAGATATAGGGATTGCTATGCTTTAATCGCGATGTGTATTCCAGTTTCAACTGTGGTGTGGAGTTGAGCACTCGTAGCGGAATTCCATGCACCGAACGATAATGAAGAACGAACGCTTTGTAAGTTATTTTCATGCTGGAGTCTAGCTATGCTGCCATTAGGATCGATGTCACCTTTGTGGTTCACAACTCCAACAATGACAGCATACGATGTAAGTTGCCAGAAGTTAATAAGGTCCTCATTATAATGGCGGTTATACCAACCCAATGTGGATCACGCAATAACATGTAGTAAAAAATAAATATCCATATCAATTTTATCATGGATAATAATGACTTCGCTACCCCTTTCTCATTTATCATAACGCTTTTAATGGATTGTTTATCATCAAAGGAAAAAGTTCACTTGACGTATGCAAACTTCACTTCGTGCTCTTAAGATCGAATCCTTACGCGGATACCAGAAAAGGATAAAAAGAAATTTCTCACATGCATAATTCCATACAAACATGGCAAACTCTTCGGACCTCCTCTTTGAACAACTGGGAGTCGATTCTACTATTCCGACTGCGACTAGATATGTGATTTACTTAAGACTGGGGTAGTTTACGAAGTGGTGGTACTTTATCTCTGGAGTGATGGAGAGACAATCAGTAAGATTTCGCGAGAGTATTGATAGGGCAAACAATATTTCACAGAAGTAGGTGGACTTAAATGTGTAAAGCAGCGTAGGCTGTAAAATGTGGCATTGATTGTCTGATTCAGTTTACTTCGAAAGCAGTTTGGTGTTCCGAATCCCATTTAAAATCCATTCGGAAGGGATGGTGCTCAAGAGTCAGTAATTTCCAATTTACCTGGGAATATTTCCAGTTTATACAACCTTCCAATGGCCTGCTGTACAATGTGGGCATTCGTCCGGTGAGTTCCGCAGTGCTGCGGTTAGGGAGATTGTTAGGGTTTGAAAACTGTTTCATGTGAGATTAAATATCCGATGTAAACCTGCCCGACTGACAGCCACCTAAGCGAATGAGGGCAAAAGGTCAAACTCGTGGTATCTACATCCGCTAGGTAAAAAGGTGAACTCTTCACGCAGAAGCAGTATTCATATGCGAGTGTGTGTGTGTGCGTGCGTGTGTGTGTGTGGTTCTTGCTTCTGTCTGTTTGTATGGACGAGGACGCAGTTCATGAACGGAATCCACCCGATCAATGACTAAGGCGAACCCACCTCCCAGGATCTGAGCCTTTCATGTTTGAGCATGTTTTATCCGTCCTGTTCACGGGATCACTGGAAGTTAGGCTTCATTTGTGGCTGAATGATTGCAAATAGCTG